TATATATATATATATATATATATATTTAAAGTTTTAAATTTATTATCTTTGGTAAATATCTAATCAATCCGAGCACAAAGTATTTAAAAACCTTGCGTATTTAAATATTTGAATTATGAACAATATATAGGTACAGAAGTCGTAATGTATAATAATGTTTATAATCTATATATATTTACGTTTAATTTATTTAAAAAAAAACATGGTTAGAAACTATGCCAGACGTGCAATATATTGGATACATGAAATATGATCCAATGTGCGCAACTAATAATGCTCGTAGATTAATCGACGGACGAGCTAAAAGATTCAACTACCGGCGTAGTGAAATACTCCAGCTCGCAGGCGGAAAATGAAGACGTTGGCCGTTCATTCGCGAAGGCTACCCGCTGTTAAGGAAATCTATAAATCCGCCGTGGCGATATCGATACTGATGGCTACCCATGTTTTATCGCCCTGCGGATACGCGATCGCCCGGATCTCGATTATGAATTCTCGTCGTCCTAGTCTCAGCGGGGTGACTGACTTTCCAAGATATCTCTAGTCGTTCCAACGATTTTTCTGCGATAAATTTCGCGTATTTCCCGCACGTCTTCTCTCTTTTCGATCAATTCCACGAATATTATATTAATTTGCATAGATATTTTGATATTATATTGGCAAAATTTAAAAACTAGATATTTTTATCCTGTTTATCCTTATATATAAATATCATCTTTGCTTTAATATTAATTTATGACATTGTCATTTTGTACGACATACTGAATAATCTGATTAATACTGATTTAAATTTTTTTCAGAAATCGAGGCGCAAGAAGCTTGCAAATGGTTGAGAGCCGCCGGATTCCCGCAATACGCGCAAATGTACGAAGGTAAGTGCTCGGATAAATATCAGAAAGATAATAAACAATTATGATTTGCGGTTCGAGAGATCTATTAATGCAAGTCAAAATACCTTTAAATTGCTCCGAGATTGAATGAGTATAATACTAAATAGCTAACACGAACTGAAAGGAAGTAATTTTAGATGAGATCTAAATCGCTTGAGACATCCGAGGATTCAGATGTCCTGGAAGTAGATAATGGGAATTTAAGTGGTGCTGTTGGGAATGGCAAGGAGGCTTAACCTTTTGTTATCCTCCAAGTCTCTTAAGGGAGATAAACTACCTAAACTTTCGACAAATTCTAACTTGTTCGAAACTACGACTCGGCTACAGTGATGTTGTTGCACATAAATCCTGACAAACATTATCTTAATTGCGTAAGATTATCATCGACATAATTTTCACGACATATTTCCCAAGTACTACCTAGAGCCATGTGTTTAATCTCACAAGGGCTCTTCGCCAAAGCGATCGCACGCGTTGGAACGCATGTACTGCTTGTCCTCGAAAAAGGATGGGACTAGAAAAAGCAGCGTCATTTTTCAGGACCGCTCTTCGAAGAGAAATATGTAGTTAGAGCTTAGAGCAGAGAGATTAGAGAATCTAACGGCAAGATTTATAGGCAGTGACGCTCAGCCTGAATTTCGCGATCTTTGAAAAAAATAAAATAAAATATATTAAATGCGTGTGTGTATGCAGTGGCAAGCCAATTCTGAAAACTATCCGTAGATAGCGTGACGTGACAAATGATCTTACTGGGAAATGAGTCTTATCACGGGCAGAGCTGTTGGTGACTATTTTGCAACTGGGTCCGACTGCCAACTCAAGTGTTGCAAGGCAGTTATTCATATACGACAACACAATACGCGAGTTCTCGAGGCGCATCGGTGGCCACGTAGCGCCAGGATACGCCGGAAGGAGGAGCAGTAACGAGCGACATCACGTGGGTAGACGCGGCGGATCAGGTCGTCGCGAGAGCCGAGAAAGTAAATTATTAAGGGGGCAGAGCTTGATGCGTATGTGCGCCCGGACATGTTAATACGTTTTATAATGCGAACCCTTTGTCGCGGCGCCTACCAACAATGCGTTCGTTATTGCGGTACCGGTGCATTGTTGCCGCCGCATTTGCGCCGCGGCCGATGCCTTCTTCTCGCCATGCCATTAGCGAGGTATTGTTTTACGTTTGTAACCAAGGGGGGTCTTGCGGAAGAGTTTAATGCCTATAGCAGTCAGGCTTAATTTTTTTAACCGTCTCTCGGATCAATTTTCTGACCTTCTTCTTAGTCTGACAGACTCGAGTAATATTTTGCTAGACTAAATAGGACACCGTTGTATATATAGAGAATGTTTCGCTCCTGGAGACCCATGGACCACCCAGTCATGACATTTAGAGGCCTCAAGAATTGTCGAAAGTTCGAAACCCAACACCCCTCTCGTCTTTTCGTGTTTTCTTTCCTTAAAAAGCTCCACTTTCACGCACTGTCATTAATTATGTCACGAGAACTCCGTAAAAATATAAGTATATATATGGCGATCGGCAAAAAGAAGCTGAAAAAATTTTACTCATCATACATCGTGTTCTATATCTAGAGCTAAATAAAATATCTCGGGGATTTAATGATTTTATTCCACCGGCGATATCCTGGTGACATAAATCTCGTCGTTACATTGTGACGCTTAGCCAGGAGGTAAGATCCGCGTAGATGTAAATCAGTGCGGCTAGGCGAAAATGAAAAATTACGCGAACCATTAATCACTCGTCCGACGGCGTCCGGGTGAATATTATTCCCGCATTAGCTCTTGAAATTGAAGAAAGACCTGGAATTACTCGCCGTGCCAAGGACGTTAATGACTGCTGAACACGAGGCATTAGTCCTTTCCCTATGTACACGTGGCTTAATGCCTCTGCACGCGCAATACGCTCTCTTGGCGGATTTGACGGACTTCGTTTACATCTGCTATGAATATCATGTGCATTATGGAGAAATACGTGCCAACGAAAACTAACGAGAGCTTGCTTCAGCTGTCCTCGTAATCCAGAAGATTGTATTTTTATAACAATTCATTTGTACATTTCAGGAGATCGTACATTAATAATTAAATTTGATATGAATGTTTTAGTGAAAGCAGAGAATGAAATTTATTTGAAATTCTCTATTCAATTTATATCTCTGATTTAATTAAGTCTGTGAATCAAAATAGCAACGTGATCAAGCGGAAGACGAGGTTTAACGTAATTGTGATTTATTATTTAAAATTTAAATGCAACTGGTCGGAATTTTTTGATTCGTCTAATAACTCGGTATTACATATAACTGTAATTTGCAAGTTCGTATTTTTATAACAATTCATTTGTACATTTCAGGAGATTGTACATTAATAATTAAATTTGATATAAATGTTTTAGTGAAAGCAGAGAATGAAATTTATTTGAAATTCTTTATTCAATTTATATCTCTGATTTAATTAAGTCTGTGAATCAAAATAGCAACGTGATCAAGCGGAAGACGAGGTTTAACGTAATTGTGATTTATTATTTAAAATTTAAATGCAACTGGTCGGAATTTTTTGATTCGTCTAATAACTCGGTATTACATATAACTGTAATTTGCAAGTTTAATAAGTTCGCTCCATTATAACTGTAAATTTATGTGCCTCCGGTCACGCCATCAGTACGCCTGGCGCGAGCGAGATACGCGCGTGTTTTTCTCACTGCGGCAAGGAATCAGACTAGCAACGCGCCTTGCGTGTGCAAGAGGCGGAAAATATCTTATTGAATGTCGACGGATCGCGGGGTTCAGCTTGTATGTCGCATCGTATCAAAAAAGCGACACATTTGATGGATACCTATTATTCCCATACCTCGAAATAACATGACGATGTTCATTATGTACTGTCATCCTTCTGGAAAATTAGAAATATTATGAAATTTTTTTCTTCATCGCAGAGCCGAGAGATGAAACGGGATGAGTTGAAAATAAGTCGTTTTATTTTCGACCCGGGATAAGTTGATTTGACATTTTATATTTTTCTTCTCAATTTATTTACTTACGACATTAGAATGCATTTTATGTCACCATGAAGAAATGTGCGGACAGCCCTAAAGATACGTTGCATAATGAAATATGCGGTGTTAATGCGCAAGCGGATTAACGTCGATCGCGGAAAGAGTGTCGAGCCGCGGCACTCCCATTTCCATTGTACGAATCGCAGGCCAGAGATAGGGACCCACTCTGTTTCGCGACGGTCGTGATTAAACAGATTTGCTCGACATATACTATGCAGCGGCTGGATAAGCCGCGGCAACGCGACGTGTCCAACGTCACGTAAAATCTGGACGGAAAATTTTACGCCGGGTTACGTCGCGCTATTACCTCGACTTTTCGTCACCGTTCAACTGGCGGCGGTGTCCATGTGTTCCGACAGGCCTGTTCGCAGCCAGAGCTCAATCACGCGCGCCACACGCGTAGCTCGCGTGCGAAAGTTTCAATATGAATTTTTTTCTGGCAGCTTATGAGCCGAGGGAAGTTTTAATTTTTTTATCACGATTTTTCTCGCAGGGACGACTGATTCACACAATTATCTAAACTTAGCAAATTCACGGATCCGAGCTCGATACATTCCTATACATCCTATACATTTTTATACATGTTTTTATAAGTAATAATTTTAGAAGAAAAGTGAAAATAAGATACAATGTAATAATTTAAAAATAAAAAGAGTATAAATAATAATAAAAACAAGATTTATGTGCGTTTGGTGTAAATAAAACAGAATAGCGAAAAGGTTCATTTTTTTCATATATTTTAAAGAAGAATGTTATAGCTACATATCAGTTTCGCTACATACGTATTTTTATAATTAGTTTGATTAATGCTAATTTATTTTATTATAATAAGCATATTATAAATGCATAAATGCATGTTGGCAACTTTGAATATTATTCGAATATATTACACGCTTTAATAATTTTCGTATTGTTTATAGAATTATATATTTAGAAACAAAAAAATATATTTGTATTTAAAAAGTAATCATATTAGTAACATCAGTATTTGCAAATTAGCTTCTTTCAGCTGTTTGCAGTTCCAGCATTTTTAAAAATTTACTACGTGTGTGATTTTATTTAGCGTTATTTGAAACGACATAAATCGGCTGTAAAAGTTTCAAGATAAAACGATTTTATATTTCTGCTTATGAAGAGAGAGACACGTTGTTTATTTATTATTCTACAGAAGCCAGCTTACAGACAAAGCTGCCGCCTGGATTCTCGGAAGAGAAAGCTCAAAGAAAACTTTAGATACGAAACATTTCTCAGTTTTATCAAGTTTTTCTGGACGAAATGCATCTTCGTTAACGATTCTTTTGCGATTAAATATAATTTGTACATTAGAATATTTATTAAGAATATTTTGACGAAAGTTATCTCAGAAATGTATTATAAAAATATTCAATATTTTTACAATTTTATGTGTGTGTGCCAATTATCGGTGACATATTGTTATGAAAAATATTTTTGTTGAAAAGGACTACGAGATCCATTACATTTAGCTCGTTTACACTCAGCTTCATTACATTCATTATTCTTCCCGAGTTTCACTCGGCTTTTCGTGCGAACGGTTTCAAGTTTTGCAACCTCTTCCGTATTTTCCGTAAGTAGAGCGACTCTACATTTTATGCGGGTAGAAATTCGCCCGCAGGCGGTGTATAGTTTACAAAACAATCTGTTTTTCGCGTTACGCGCAGCGACGCAGCTGACAGCGATCGTTAACGGCAGACGTCCCGAAAAATCGACTCATATATCCTCGTGAATCACGCGTTGGGTCAACAGCAACAGCGGCATGGCATAAATCGATCATTTACTGGTTCAATCCTCCGGTGTGCCTTGGACGTGTTGCCACCGGCGTCACGACGCGGCATCACGCCAACGGCCACGGGTGTCAGGTGGTCGTCCGTTTCGTCTACTGGCCGAATTTATAATACGAGAA